TGGTCTGTGATCCATTATTTTGCATTGGACATAGAATGATTACACTCTGGACCAAGCAATATGTTTGTGCAGCTGTTCTGCAAACTTGGTTGACTGCATGTCAGTTTCACTTGCAACAGAGCGTAACACCACAAGTAAATGTATTCTGGTAAATAACTTTTACCATTGAACTTTTTTTCCCCCACCCTTTCACTTGTCATTAGCTTTTGTTAATGTGCTTGCTTTATTCAATAAACCAGCAGTGTCATTCAATAATCTGAACAGAATCCACACAATGCACTTTGTTTACCTGGTCATCTAATAATAAATAAGAGAAAATTTAGAATAAACCATGTTGTTGCAAACCCACAGATTTACAACCTTTTAGAAACCCATAGTTTTATTTTATTATTTATAGGTGCTTACCGTGTTTTTCGCTCCATAAGATGCACCTGACCATAAGACGCACCTAGGTTTTAGAGGAGAAAAACAAGAAAAAAAATATTCTGAACCAATGGACTGCAGACATAGTACAGGAGATGACCAGAGACTGCAGATAGTACACGAGATTACTGAGACTGCAGACACAGTACAGGAGATGACCAGAGACTGCGGACATAGTACAGGAGATGACCAGAGACTGCGGACACAGTACAGGAGATGACCAGAGACTGCGGACGCAGTACAGGAGATGACCAGAGACTGCGGACACAGTACAGGAGATGACCAGAGACTGCGGACACAGTACAGGAGATGACCAGAGACTGCGGACACAGTACAGGAGATGACCAGAGACTGCAGACACAGTACAGGAGATGACCAGAGACTGCGGACACAGTGCAGGAGATGACCAGAGACTGCGGACACAGTACAGGAGATGACCAGAGACTGCGGACAGTACAGGAGATGACCAGAGACTGCGGACACAGTACAGGAGATGACCAGAGACTGTGGACACAGTACAGGAGATGACCAGATACTGCGGACACAGTACAGGGGATGACCAGAGACTGTGGACACAGTACAGGAGATGACCAGAGACTGCGGACACAGTACAGGAGATGACCAGAGACTGTGGACATAGTACAGGGGATGACCAGAGACTGTGGACACAGTACAGGAGATGACCAGAGACTGCAGACAGTACAGGGGATGACCAGAGACTGCAGACAGTACAGGGGATGACCAGAGACTGCAGACAGTACAGGGGATGACCAAGAGACTGCCGACAGTACATGAGATGACCAGAGACTGTGGACCTTTGGGGAGGGAGGGGGAGCGGGTACCTGAATTTGACAGGTACCCGCTCCCACCTACATGGAGTGGTCCTCCCTTTAGTGTGGGCACCCGGCTGTGACAGCCGAGTGCCCATTGCGCATGCGCGAGAAGCGCTGCGCTTTGTGAATGGCCCGGCTTGTTCTGGGACACTAGACAGGTCCCAGAAAACGCCGGGCCATTCACAAAGCACATCGCTTCTCACGCATGTGCAGTGGGCACCCGGCTGTCACAGCTGGGTTCCCACACTAAAGATGCCGGCGCGGGAAGACTGTACACGCTAGACCGAGGATCAGGTAAGGTCCTGCTGCAGAGAAGAGCTGAGCGGCTGGCCCAGTATTCTGACACAGTGTCGGCGGCGGAAATACCGGACCAGCCGCTCCATATTCGCTCCATAAGACGCACTGACATTTTCCCCACTTTTTTTGGGGGAAAAAAGTGCGTCTTATGGAGCGAAAAATACGGTATATAGCGCTGTCAATTTATGCAGTGCTTTTACGTATATATTGTACATTCACATCAGTCTCTAACCCTCAGAGGGCATACAATCTAAGGTCCCTAACTCACATTCATACATACACATACTAGGGCCAATTTAGACAGGAGCCAATTCACCTACCAGCATGTCTTTGGAGTGTGGGAGGAAACTGAAGTACTCAGAGGAAACCCACGCAGGCACAGGGGAACATGAAAATTCCAGGCAGGTGGTACTGTGGCTGGGATTCGTACCAATGACCCTAGCACTGCAAGGTGGAAGGGCTAACCATTTAGCCACTGTGCTGCCCATTTAAAGTTTTTGTTTGTGCATACAACATATGTATGTGTCTGCTTTGCAAGTTGAAAGTTTAGATGTAGTCAGGGCCAAAATATATACAGGTAGGCCACTTTTCCACCTATTTTTTTAAAGTGTTAGTATTGTTCCCAGCTTTTTTTGTGAACTACAGGACACTATCTGTTATGTTACGTAGAAGATCATAGCCAATGCATATTGGGCTGTCAGGATCCCCTTACATGTACCACACACCAACATGTATAGCGCACCTAAAATGCTAGAGGTAGCTCAATCAGGCGTTCGAGGTGCTAATCAATTATAATAGACTTCAAAAATATGAAATATTTGCATTTTATTCACAATGCTTTTTTAAATACGTATATACATACAGTATGTATACATCATTTCTGTCCTCTGTATACAGACATAACATATACAATGTACAATTTAAAATATTGCAATTCCATCCCCCAGAGAGCCTCCACGTAGGTATCCAGCGTATTGTTGTATATGCGTACATTATGTATGTCAAATAGTCTGGAGGTTCCCGAGACTATGGGGCACCAATGGAGAAAGCCTCTGAGATAACTTAATGGAGACTACGATCAGCATATGTGTGATGTTCAAATGTCATAATCGTTCTGTAAAATTAAGTATATTCATTATCTATGTGTTACTCATAGTATGTTTCCATTTTCCATTTTTAATGGGAACCATATTATCCACTATATCTTATCCAGATCACTTACCTAAACGCCCTGATGTTAATAGGGACCAATGGATATCCACAGTATCTTTCTGCTCTGAATAGGGTACTCTAGGGAAAAGAAAAATGTTTTTATAGGGTAATACAAATTTATATGTTAACTGCGTTTCTTCAATTGGCATATCTTTAACCACTTCCCGTCCGGCCCATGTCTATAAACGGCTGGATGGGAGCACTGCTGAAGCAGTGCAGCGTTTCTAAACATCACCCACATTCACTACCTGTGCACACTCCCTGGGAGCACGCGGCACCACGATCCAGTGCCTGGTGTGTCCAGAGGACACTGATCATGGTATGGGACCTCTGTATGAGGTCCCGATTCATGTGATCACTGATTGGCCAATCAGTGATCACATGAGCAGTAGTAAACAAGATGTCACTTCCTGACATCATTGCTTACTACTTGTGAAATCTGTGATCACAACAGCCTTTTACCGTGTGACATGTGACAAGCTGTGACCAATCACAGCTCTCACGGTATTTCTCAATGGCTGCAAGAATGGAGCCAGAGAGAAATAGAAATGATTGCTTTTACAGCCTTTATGGGTGTAAAAACAATCAGTGTAAAAAAACAAAAAAAAATCTTAATCACCTCCACAAGTAGTACAGTGTCACTATGGTGACACTGTACTGCTAGGGTGACAGTATGTTAAAAAAACCCATAAATAATAATATAAAAAAATAAAATAAAAATGTAAAGTTTTTTTGAAAAATTATAATTTTTGGTTATAAACTAATTTGGCTTATTTTTTTTCTACTAAAAAAGATAGCCGAATTCATTTTTGCCAAGATTTATGAAGAAAGATTATTTATTTGCAAAATTTTATAAGAAAAACTTTTTTTTCAAAATTTTAGAAATTTTTCATTTATATAGAAAAAAAATAAAAATCCCAGTGGTGATTAAATACCACCAGAATAAAGTTTTATCTGTCTCAAAAAATGCAAAAAAAATGCATATGGGTACAGTGTTGCATGACCGCACAATTGTCATTCAAAGTGTGATAGCACTGAAAGCTGAAAATTGGCCAGGACAGGAAGGGAAGTGAAAGTGTCTGGTTAAACACTGAGTCATATTCCAGTTGGAAATATATTGACTGTCTGTATACTTTTAATGCACATATGAAAACCCCAGGTAGTAAGTATTCAATAGTGCTTTAATATATCCAAGAAGAAATAACTTCAACACCGATTTAAAGAGTGATTTAGGTGACAGTAGAAAAGTTCCGTAATACAGTTGATAGAAAGGAATCAAATACAATGCATCTAGCTCTTTTTTACAGCAAACTCTCTACATATCTTCCTATGGTACTGACATGCATGCCAATCCTGCGTAGCTTCCACAGTTCCCAAATCGAAACCAAGAAGTAACACAAGGGGGTGCCAGCTAAGTGCAGCATCAAGGGGTTTATTATGCCACATTGGATGGAAGCCATTCACAGGAAGAGCCGATTGTGACAGCAGCAAACAGAGTGTTGTCAAGGAGGAACCCAAGTCCAATATTCCAGGAAGTGAGGAGATGAGGATCGCAGGGCATTTTGTGATGTCACACCTGGGGTGGGCTGGTTGCTATGGTAATGCGTTTCGGAGCTCCTATTGAATCCTTTCTCAAACCATTGAAAATGAAAGCGGATACCCACCCCCACTCTCCCCCTTAAACAGAGCTGGCCTGTCTATGATTTTCAATAGTTTGAGAAAGGAGCCAATAGGAGCTCCAAAATACGTTACCATAGCAACCAGCCCTCTCCAGGTGTGACATCACATTCTGCCCTGCGATCCACAGTGGTTCTCACTTTCTGGAACATTGGACTTGGTTTCCTCACTGGCAACATGCTGTTTGCTGGCACAAGCAGCTCTTCTGGTGGAAGGCTTCCATCCAATATGGCATGGCTGCAGATAAGCTCTTTGATTTTATATTCGTGTGAGTTTCTATTTGGCTTTTTCATTTCAATGCTGTTTGTTTTATAAAAGAAGGAGTTGCAAGCCAATCCAGAAAGTTATACATCCATTTTCATAAACTGCCACCCATCTGGGCTGATACCAGCAATGCACAAAATGCAACTTTCCAGGACAATCATAGCCAATGATAGCCAAAAGGGTCCCATTGGGACTTTTAGTTTAACCACTTGACACCGATCCCATGCAAATATGCGGCCTCTCAGCATCTGGGCCTTGACACTGAGTGGCCTCATATTTGCATGCCATTAGAAAATACATGTGTGCTGAGAGCACGCACCATGCTTGCTCCCAGCACATATGTCCGCTACTCCCGGAAAGGTCCCGATCTTCCCTTTCGATCGGGACCTTTTCCGATCATGTGACTGCAAATCACGGCGGTCACATGACCCTAAAACCCTGCCCCGCCTCCCGGCTTCTGAAACTCTTAAAGGGCCGGGAGGTGCCGGCACCAAGAGGTTAAGGCACGTAACAATAAGGAAAAGGAGAAAATGAACACTAAAGTGAAACTTTGTCAGGCCTGGCGTCAGAGACTACCATAACCTGTCTGGAGGGTCGATCACCCTCCAATAATCAACAGGTCATAAGGGGAGACACCCCCTATGGCCTTTAGTTAACTATATCCAATACCAAGGAAAGAAATGTAAAGGGAAAGAGATGAAGAAAAGAGGGAAGAAGGGAAAAATGAAAAGAGAAATAGAAAATGAATAGAGAAGGAGAAAGAAGAAGAAAGGACGTGTGGAGGAGGAGGTGCATTTGGCTTTTTAATCGTAATTAACCCCTTGATGCTGCACTTAGCTGGCACCCCCTTTTTTTATAAACTCCTTATATAAACATTTTATGAAATACCTATGCTATACACATGTATCTTCACATATCTAGGGGGGTAGAGGCTTACTTATGTACATGGTGTACTAACATTTGTTTGCTCCACAATTTCATTTGTTAAAGAGTAGAAACTGCCTCCCCTAACAATGGAGCAGAGGTCAGTCCTTTCCTTTTTTTATCCCCCCCCACCCACTAATGGCACCCACTCCTAACTGGTAGGACATCTAACATCATTGTGTTGCAACAGCAATCCCATTGTGCATACAGCGGTGATCCAGTGGCTCCTCCCACTTCTCCATAGGCAAAGGGGAAAAGCAGATTACCACAAAGACTGATAAAATCATGCCACTCTCCCACCTCCGAAAGGATAAGCTGCCAGAAAATGGCAAAAGGGCATCTCAGTTTAACAGAACCTACGACCATCCATTTGGGAGTCTGCCCTCCCTAATCTGCAATCTGAAGGTCCGATCATCCTTCCACACACAGAAAAAGGATCTTCCTGCTGGGCATAAAGCACCCCCACACTCCCTTTGGGCAATACCTGCACTGTGAATGGGCATATTACACACTATTTAGTGATCAACATTTACAGAATTTGATTAAAAACAATGGCAGTTGTAGAGGATGTATTTGACCATTTGATATTTACATAATAAAGCCTATACACATACAAGGGCAGAATTATGAAGAAGAACATAGAAAGAGGTGCTCTCTAGTTCTCTGCAAAGCGTTCTTTGATTGGATAAGGTGGAGACTGTGATGTCACCGCTCTCCACTTCATCTAATCAGAAAATGTTATGTTGTGTTATGAACACAATGGTTGTTTTTTTAACTGGAGAAAGTGTAATGCATTCTCTGCTTTGTACCAGTGCCAAGCAAGCAATCTCCTGTATTCAATAAATAGCAGGGCAACAGCTCAGTAGGGGACCCCGAAAACAGCAGTAATCACTGTAGTAGTATTGCCTACTACAGGGATTTCCAGTGTCCCCAGGCATCAGCTAGTTATGATACATGCAAACTGAACCAATGTACAGTAACTATAGCTATACCCGGACTTCAGCTTTAAGTTGTATGTATACTGTATTATCCAGAATATTTTTACTTTGTAAGTATAGTTTCTATTCTAATTTCACCTTGATTTTTTGGGAGAATCAGCAGTTTCACTCCAAAATCAAGTTTGCTGAAATTTTGAGCTCACACTAAATTGCCACCTTGTTAATATGGTGGCATAACATTTTGTGGGTTTATGGGTATCATAAAAAGTTGTATACATATGTTGACAGTCTAATGGTTTGAAATACTGTATCTGCTTGCCAACTGTCTAACATAGATGTGCGGCGGCAAAGTGGCCTCTCTGCGCTGGATCACGTACCTAGTACACAAACCGCGTGCGTGCGCCGTCCTGGCTGTGCTGTGATTCGTTACAGCACAAGCCTATCAGCAGGTTTTGGCCAATAATTGACTGCCGGAACCCGCTGTTCGGCTCAATGTTCCATAGTAAAAGCAGCTCATATTACACACAGTTAACCCATTGATTGCCCCTAGATGTTAACCCCTTCCCAGCCAGTGTCATTAGTACAGTGACAGTGTATAGTATTAGCACTGTATTAGTGTCACTATTGATGTCAGTGTCAGTCAGTGTTCACAGAACAGAGCTCTGTGATTGTAAACAATACAAAGCTCTGTTCACTGACAGGGGATCCATAGTAAAAGCTACGTATATTACACACAGTTAACCCCTTGATTTCCCCTAGCTGTTAACCCCGTCCCAGCCGGTGTCATTAGTACAGTGACAGTGTATAGTATTAGCACTGTATTAGTGTCACTATTGATGTCAGTGTCAGTCAGTTAGTATACCCCCAACCAGCATCAGCTAGTGTCAGATTGCCCACTATAAGTCGCTGATCGCTGCCATTACTAGTATAAATAAATAAATACATTTTGAAAAAACTCCAGAATATATCCCACAGTTTGTAGGCGCTATACCTTTCATGCAAACCAAATAATATACTCTTATTGGGATTTTTTTTACCAAAGACATGTAGCAGAATACATTAATACATTTTGATCAAAATTTATGAAGAAATTTGATTTTTTAAAATTTTTTATTGGATATGTTTTATAACAGAAAGTAAAAATAATTTTTTTTGTTTTTCTGCAAAACTTTCGGTCTTTTTTATTTATATAATAAAAAAAAGCCCAGTGATGATCAAATACCACCAAAAGAAAGCAATTTTTGTGTGAAAAAAATTATTTAAATGTAATGGGTACAGTGCAATTGCCAGTTACCCCTTGTTCACATATGTGCGGTTTCGCGATTTGCACGGGCATGAGAGCTCATTCATTTGAATGGACTCCCGTGCCCCGGGACACGCAGGGAAGAAGTCTCTGCATTACTTGGGAAATCACATGGGATCCAAGGTTCCCAGTACGGTTGCGATTTCCAGTGCGGGCGGTGTGCTATTAGAATTAATGGCACCTGCCTGTGGGTCCCACATTCCTCTGTGTGGTAGGTGTGGCTGCAGATATTTGTGCAGGTCCCACAGCGGCACCAACCGCACAGATGTGAACCAAGCTTTAATGTAGCGCAGTGCCGAACCGCAAAAAATGGCCTGGTGATGAAGGAGGTAAAACCTTTCAGAGGGCAAGTGGTTGAACAGTAGCCATATATTATTTATGTATAATTTAACATGGCAAACTGTAGCTTGCATTCCAAGCTTTTAGTGTCATGCAATGGGCATGGAAACTGTAATACTGAATGGTGACATATAAATCTGTAGATACCTCTAAAAGTACAGTTTACATTATATTTATTTGCCACAAAATTTGTGAAAAAAAACCATGCGGTGTTACATATTCTTCATAACTTTAATATGTGTCATAAATAGTAACATTTAAAAGGCCGTAGCCGGGTCCTTAGTGATGACACCTTTAAGGCAGTATTTTTTATTTCTCCCACAAACTATAGGGTACTTCAGCTGAAAGAGTAATGAAGGATTTTTTTCCTATTATAATGCGTTACAGAAATTTAGGTAGCCTGTTCAGATCAATTCTACTTGCCCACAGTCCCATGCAGTAGTTCACAGGTAATTTCACACATTAAACAGCCAGATTTCCTGAACTGGTAGGACTGCAAACAGAATCTAATGGGAAGACAAATGACACTGCCAGGGCATTTTTTCTTTCCAGTGACACCGCTGGAACAGGGACATTTTTTTTTCATGAACAAATACAATGATATTGCTACTACCCATATACAGTTGTGGCCAAAATTATTCAACCCCCAATGCTGTAAAGGGGTTTAGGGACTATAGTGTACATTTGGAATTGTATTCAGAATCAAATCCTACAAGGACGTTGTAACTACCCAAATGCAACTAAAATGACATCAATTGTTTATGTAATAACAGTAGTAAATGGTTCTTATGTGGTTTCTTCATTGCCACAATTATTCAACCCCTTAAAGACTACCACTCTGAAGAACAGAGGTTCATACAGGTGCTTTCCATCAGGTATTGAAAACACCTGTGGATGTCACCGAGCAGCAATCAAGCATAATAAGCACCAATTAGGCAGCTTTAAAATGACTGTGATACTCAGCTCCTTCTAGACATTTACTGGTGTGGTTACAAACATGGTGAAGGCAAGAGAATGGTCCAGGAAGACAAGAGAAGAGGTGATTTCTCTTCACAGGAAGGGCAATGGCTATAAGAAGATTGCAAAGATGTTAAACATACCAAGAGACACCTTAGGAAGCATCATTCGCAAATTCAAGGCAAAGGGCACTGTTGAAACGCTACCTGGTCGTGGCAGAAAGAAGATGCTGACTTCGACTGCTGTGCGCTACCTGAAGCGTAGAGTGGAGAGAAGTCCCCGTGTGACTGCTGAGGAACTGAGAAAAGATTTGTCAGATGTGGGTACAGAAGTTTCAGCCCAGACAATAAGACGCACACTGCGTAATGAAGGCCTCCGTGCCAGAACTCCCAGGCGTACCCCCTTGCTGTCTCCAAAGAATAAGAAGAGTCGACTGCAGTATGCCAAAAGCCATGTGGACAAACCACAAAAGTTGTGGGATAGTGTTCTGTGGACTGATGAAACAAAATTAGAACTGTTTGGGCCCATGGATCAACGCTATGTTTGGAGGAGGAAGAACAAGGCCTATGATGAAAAGAACACCTTGCCTACTGTGAAGCATGGTGGAGGGTCAATCATGCTTTGGGGCTGTTTTGCTTCTGCAGGTACAGGGAAGCTTCAGCGTGTGCAAGGTACCATGAATTCTCTTCAGTACCAGGAGATATTGGATGGAAACGTGATGCAGTCCGTCACACACCTGAGGCTTGGGAGACGTTGGACCTTTCAACAGGACAATGATCCCAAGCATACCTCCAAGTCCACTAGAGCATGGTTGCAGAGGAAAGGCTGGAACATTTTGGAGTGGCCATCGCAGTCACCAGACTTAAATCCGATTGAGAACCTCTGGTGGGACTTAAAGAAAGCAGTTGCAGTGCGCAAGCCTAAGAATGTGACTGAACTGGAGGCCTTTGCCCATGAAGAATGGGCGAAGATACCCGTAGATCGCTGCAAGACACTTGTGTCAAGCTATGCTTCACGTTTAAAAGCTGTTATAACTGTAAAAGGATGCTGTACTAAGTACTAAGATTGAATGTCACTTGGGGGTTGAATAAAACTGATAATGCTGTGAGCACAGAAAAGACATTTGTGGTTATTTCATTATAACTGTTATGTTATATTTGTCTGACCTACAAGTGCCTCTTTAATGTAAATGTAAGCAAGATGACTGAATGATCAAAAGCAATGTCAAACTGGCCAAAACACTCAATTTCAGTGGGGGTTGAATAATTTTGGCCACAACTGTATCCAGGATTCAGAGAGCTCACGGGTGTCCGATCCATAGTTGCTCAGTTGTATACAATACTTGGTAGAAAAGGATCTGCACAACCGTTGCTCTTCAAATCTTGCATTTTTTAGAAGACCACAGTGTAAGAATTGCAAAATGCAAAAAGTTGACACCTTTCAGCCTACACGACTTTAGTTATAACTAATTTTTTCATTCTAGTGATATCACTGATGCAGGGGAATTTGTTTTTCCTCCCATTGACACCACAAATGCAGGAGCATTTTCCCCACTGCACCATATTTCTCTGCAGGACAATGGGGGAAATTCAATAAAGCTACTGCAAACACTTTTCTGCTGTTAATTAATGTTGCGCCAAATTCATGAAGCATCTGTGACACGTTCGGTTTTGCCAGCGACTCGTGTGCCAAATTCAGGTAGTATTAAAATGCAACACTTTTATTTGTAGAGCAATGCCTGCACCAAATTCAAAATTAATCCCAAAAGTTGGTATCTTACAAAAGTGAAGCTAATTAAGACCAACTCTCTTTTGGTGTACAGAGACAGACTCTGGTGTAGACAAATTTTACTTGTGGGTTAAGTTGCCCCCATTTTCTGAGAAACATATTCACCTTATGATTTGTTAGTTTAATATTTCAATATTTTTATTGAGAAACAGGCATATAATAGCATAAAACGAGATGTCAAAAAAAGTCCACCTACATGGTGGAACGATATATATAGAATCACAATCACAACACTGATAGGCACACAAAAAAATTGACTAACAATGGCAATAGGAATACACACAGAGAGTGCCATTACCATCAAGACATACAGGTTTTCATCAATCAAAATATAGAGACTGAACCGTAGGAATAAAACAAATGTAACAAAAACAATTCAGTGGATAAAGTAGAAAAAGAGAGAAGAAAGAGAGAAAAGAAGGAGGAAACAACTCCTAAGGGAAAGGAGAAAAATGGGGGGGGGGGGGGGGGTCAGCTGTAAGGCTCTCATGATACAGGGATGTAACTAATCCAAGGCTCCCAAGTCCCCTCAAATCTGGACACATCGTCATTGACAATACTTGTAAGTTTATCGTTTACCATTATCCAATTAGGTTTTTGTTTCACCCCGTCTAATGGGATCACAGATTGTTTCCAACTTCTAGCTATGGTAATGCGAGCCGCCAGTAAGAGATATAAAAATTAGTTTAGTCGATATGATCTGTTAGTTTTAATAACACTGGCAACAATCCCCATTTTTACCAGCCAGGTCAGTAAATTATTAATCATGAGCAGTATTCTTGTGGGTAGAATTAGGGCAGAATAATAAACAACAGCAGATTTCATCATGTACCTGTCCAGACATCTTGTTTCAAACTATGGGCAGGGGTTTTAATGGGTTTTACAGCTAGCATACAAAGCACTTAGGCTCAGTTCACATTGCTGCGGCCAAGGATTCTTGGGCCAAGCTGAGTTGCTAGCTACCAAGGGGAGGAAGGTCCACCAAAGGACAGGGTAAAATAGGATGAACCCCAGCACTGTGTTTCCTGGCTTTCTTATGTACACATGAAATGTGGTATGATTTAAGTCTCAGAAGTCAAAGGAGTATGCTTACATGTACTTTCGTGGGAATTGGCTTACTACTCATTTGCTTTGACTTGCGATTAACTTTCTTATGTGTTACGTCCGTTTGTTTTGTTAAAGTGTTACTAGTGTTAAAGTGACAATACATTCACTATATCTGGTCTCCTACAATACATAGACCATGGAAATGTGGGCAGCACAGTGGCTAAATGGTTAGCACTTCCGCCTGGCAGTACGAGGGTCATGGGTTTGAATCCCAACCATGGCACCACCTGCCTGGAGTTTGCATGTTCTCCCTGTGCCTGCGTGGGTTTCCTCCTGGTACTCTGGTTTCCTCCCACACTCCAGAGACATGCTGGTAGGTGAATTGGCTCCTGTCTAAATTGTCCCTAGTATGTGTATGTATGAATGTGAGTTAGGGATCTTAGATTGTACACCCCTTGGGGGTTAGGGACTGATGTGAATGTACAATATATATGTAAAGCGCTGCGTAAATTGACAGCGCTATATAAGTACCTGAAATAAATATTTTAGTAAATATAAACTACTTAATACCTTTTCTTTTTAACAGTTAGATCAGTCTTGTGACTATCAGTGTCCAGCAGAGTATTGGTTAAAGCTTGTAGGAGGAGTTTTCATTCTCCCCTGCATACACACTAAGCTGAGCATGTGCAGCTTGCCCCCAAGGCTCTGTTCTTTCAGCAGATGGATTGGAGACAGTAAAAGAAGAGGAGGATCAGAGAAGACAGGATCCAACAATCTTTTTACATTAATGCAGAGGATTAACCCGTTAGGTTCCACAGTGAGTA